GGAAAAAAGCTTGATCCTGTGCATATAAGTTGGGTATGGCCCTACTTTCTCACCAGCCCTATGAGAACAGCCAGGTCTTCCTTCAATAGACCTGTGCATCGACATACAAACTCAACCTGTAAAAAACAAATTACAGGCATTTCTGAGAAGTCTTGATCCAACAGTAAGTATTCAAGGCATATGCAGTTTATCCTTGCTAAAAGCAAGGAGGAAACATTTTTCAAATAAATGTAGTAGAATTATAACAAAAAAAAAGCAGTGAAGTGACATGGTTCAAGTTCACCTGAAGGAAGGTGAAAACTAAAAGGAAACAACAAGGAAGATGGCAGTGGGAAATATAAGCTGCATTCTGTGAATATGTTGAAAGAAAAGCAGAGAAAAAGCAAGATGGTTTTTGCTGAAAGTGGACAATGTTGGTGAAATTGACAATCACATACATTAGATGAATGTTGACAAGGGAGATAAAGGAGGAGATACTGTGTTCACCTCAATTGTTTCTGATGACAAATGATCACACAGTATGACTGATGGAGTTTACTTGATTTGTTGAATAAAGAGGAAAATTATACAGACTGAGTGCAAGTCAATTTAACATTTTATATAGTTACTCTTTTCGAAAGAATAGATCAAGACAGTGTTGGAGCACAAATTTATAGAGTGAATTTAGTTATTAAACTTACATTTTCTTCATACCAAAATTCTAGATGCTTGAAGCTCTCTTGAACATCTAATGATTCCTTAAAAGATAAGATGTCTCAAAATTACTAATATAATTGTGACTGTATGATCTACTTTGTAAATATGCAAGTGCAATTTTTTTAAAAAGATATTAAGCTTACAGTATATTTGTCAATGTATGGTAGAAGCCCTTTGCTGTATTCATCAAGCTCTTTTTGAAATCTGAGAAAGATGTTAAGGCTTCATTGGTGTAAGTGAAACGCTGTTTCCAGTATTGCAGCTGGTAGGAGTAAAAGTTCTCTTCAACAAATCTGAATTGAAAAGTTGAATTTCTGGTGGCCTTGCTCCCAATTTGTCTGAGCCACAATATTTTCTATTGATAATTAATAAAGAGATGAATAACAGACAGCAAAGATAGTTGACTTTGAGATCTTGGGAGTTAAATGATTTTCAAATATTGTAGTAATATTACACTAACATTAGACAATCACTTCATTTTTGGAGAAAGAAAGAGGAAGACCTTTAGAGAGAAGCTGTGAGATGGGGGATGCACTCTACAATCACCTTCACCAAAGAGAAAGCACTTAAATCTGATCCTGTGCTATTTTAAGGATACAAGTCTAATCCACTTTCACTCCCAGAAACAAGACAGATGACATAATCCTTAGATAGAAAACTCCCAAATCCAGGGGAATTCCTGTAATTCAAGAGTAAACATGCTTAAACCTGTAGGTAACTAAGAGAAGATTATATCAAACAAGGATGAATCAGTCTTTTTTAATTGTTTTTGGAAAGGGGAGGGAGACCTTGTTATATTTTAGTGTTCCAAAGAAGGCTCTGGAGGCTTCAATGAAAGTGGTAGAAGGCTATAAGAGAGTTATATACAGAAAGAAAAAAATGTAGCCAAGTAGCCCATCCATCCTGACCTTATCCCAGGTTATGAAGCATCAAGTCACTTTAAGAACTGCTATTCTCCCTGAATGGGAAGCCAGTCAATCAAGACTTCTCCTCAAAACTTCAGGTTCCCCAGACAGTCATTACTGTTTCCTCATGTGGTGCTTTTCTTGCTCCAAACATGAAGAAGTATTTGGACAAGACAAGCTTTCTTTTTTTTAAGAGCAAAGTTTATTCAGAAACTCAGTGGTCTAATTTTCTGCACTCTCACACACTATCATAATTCTATGTTTATAGCGCCAACTGCATATAATTATAGCATGAACAAAGAATGTTGCATTTAGGGAATATCCATGGTAAGTGTGCTAATTTAGCATGCAAAGGCATATTACAACAGTTACTACCCATTTATACTCATCGTTCATAAAAGAGAGATTATAAATAATCACCATCTACAACATAATAATATTTTTCACCTTAAGAATAAACATTTTTAAGGTAAATATCATACATGTCTTGTTTTTCTATGCTGTCACCACTTTCCTTTCCACCTCTCAGCAAACAGTAATAGCAGAGTGCTGAATCACCAGGAAAAACATTTTCAAGTACATTGATGTTTCCATTGCCACTGTAGACTGTTCCCCTAGCAAGTCGTTTAGCCATGAAAGTTCTTAGTTCAGTTTCCTGCTCTCCTGACAAATTTGTGCTCAAAAGAGATAGGCTACAAAAAAGAAATAGATCATTATGTGACAAAGTACCCTGCAGATAAATCCCAGCATTCACATTGGTTCTTTCTTGGTTGGATTTTGTGATACAGAGCAGTTCAGTGGATATAATATAATACTGAACTATCGTAAAACCTTACAAATTCAAACTTTCAAGGGAAACAAAAGATAGTTTGAGTTAGCAGGCATTCACACAGGCATTAAAAAAAATAGGATCAGGGGAAATCAAATTATCATGGGGTTTGAGTTCACTAAGTCTGAGTTAGAGGAGTTCTACTGTATTTTTGGAAAGCCACGACCTCAAGCAAATATTCTCCATTATAGCCATTACACTCAGTTAGTGAGAGGTGAAAAAAATAACAACAAAAAAAAACAACAACAACAACAATTAGGTTTACTTTTTAGCCTATTGATTACACATGTTGTTTTTCAGCATTATCTTAAGTCCAGTTTGCTTTCCCCTTTGTTTTTTAGCAAGGTGATGCATGAGGATAAGTGTGAACTAGTAATGGTTAATCCCTTAATTCCCACAAAGTAATTAACATGTTACTTCTCCCTATACATAAGATCCATACATTATCCAACAACCATGTAATGAGAAAACTCAAAATTATCAAGTGGAAGTTGTTGTCTGGATCTATCACCAAATTTACAGCGAAATGTATAGAATTCAAATGTGCAATATTCAAACTGGATTGCGCAATCTAACAAAACTTGCAGAGAATCGAATGCACAGAAGAGTTCCCTTGAAATCTAAAGCAAGTAAGTTGTAGCCGATTGGGCTACGGTCCAGGCCTGTCTCAAGAGCAAATAACTCAAGAGAAAAAGAGAAAGGTATAAAAAATTACTCACCTAAAATCATAATTAGTTGTCGCCTCCTTGCGAAGAAAATCAGACACAGATCCCTCAGCTACAATTTTGCTTGACACAGTTCCATCTTCACTGTCTTGGCCGTTTTTATTTTCCTCAACTTCAGCACTCCTTGGTCTAAAAAGACCAATAATCAGTAAAATAAAGAAACAGGAATGAAAAAACTACCGTGCATACCTGCGTGCATTGTACGTGTACAGGGCAAATCCGTAAAAATCTTTTTGTTTTGGTTCAATATTTTCATTTGCGTTAGCTTCTTCGTCCGCCATTTTGAAAGTTGCTTTACAGCCAAGCCTTGTTATGATGGCTTGGCTACAAAGGTAAAAATGACTGGTATTTCGCGGCAAAAGGAAGAGTAAAATTTTTTATGTTTTCTGTCAAAATAATCTGATAAAATGGCAAAAAGTAAATATGAATATGTAAAAAAGTTCGAGCAGAACGATCAGTGCCTTATGAACTGCTGGATCGTTATTCGAATAGATGGAAGAAATTTTCACAGGTACACGTGCAAATATGTTCTTTACAAAATCACTTGATGGTTTTACTTCATTTCGTTCTGATTTATCGTAACTCAGATTTTCCGATGGCCACAGCTTTGAGAAACCAAACGATCGAAGAGCACTGCAGCTTATGAATAAATGTGCCGAGACTGTGATGAAGGAATTCACTGACATTGTGATTGCATATGGACAGAGTGATGAATACAGGTAATGTACAAAGAGGAGGGAGGGGGGGAGGGGTTTGTGAAGCTGAGGGGTGAAGGAGGAGTGATAAGATTGTGACACAGACCTCATGTACATTATAGCAGTGGGAACAGAAACCTTGGGTAAAGAGGGTCTGCCTGCAAGGATAAAGGGGCACTCCCTTAAAACAATTTTGACAATAATTATTTTAACCCTTAGGACTAAATTTAGTTGAAACAGAGGGATAGAGGGGGAGTTCCACTCCTCAACCCCCCCAATATCAGCTACTCTTATGTGACATAATATGCAGTAATGTGAGCACATCAGTTGGACTGGTTCCTGCTGTAGTGAATGTTTTTATTTTTCCTTTTCAGTTTGGTTTTTAAAAGGAGCACAACACAGTTCAGCAGAAGAGCAAGGTGAAGACTGAAACTGATCTTTATCTGTTCACCCTTTGACCTCTATGAGCTAATTTGTCCTTACAATGTTACAAAATCATAAATCACGTTAAGGTCATGAGAATAATGAAAATGATCACTGACTAAAAAAATATTGATTTTTAAACAAATTCTCCTTGTTAGCACCCTTGGAAATGTACAGAGAACAGTATGGAGAATTTGCACACTAATGTCAGGGTGTTAAGGGTTGATATTTTCCTTCCAAACTAATATATCAACATCTTGATATGTTATCAGTGGTTATAACTGTGATTATGAGTAGAAATTATTTCTTCTATAATTTGCTGATTAGTTTCAAATACTTTTTACTGGGTCACTTACCAACAAGTATCTTGTATACACCTAATAATAATTTTTTTTAATCTCTTCTTCAGCAAGCTGGTTACGAATGTTGTTACTCTGTTCTCTTCATCCTATGTATTCTATTGGAATCAATTTTTTCCTACCCAAGAACTGCTTTATCCACCCATGTTTGATGGACGAGTTGTACTTTATCCCAGTGAGAAAAACTTAAGAGACTACATGAGCTGGAGGCAGGCAGATTGTAAATATCAATATATTATAACAATGATAATTTGGTTTTATCAATTGAATTGATGATGTAAATTGGCCACTGTAGAGAACCTTCATCATAGTGTCTGTTTGATTTCTGTAGGTCACATTAACAACCTCTACAACACATGCTTTTGGTGTCTGGTAAAGCAGTCAGGTCTAACAGTAGAGGAGGCAGAGGAGAGACTAAATGTAAGTAAAGCTGATGTGTCTTGATTTTTCAAGGCAATCTGTATTATGAAGGTTGTCTCACACTCATCATGCCACATAACATTCTTCTTTTTAGTTTGTTAAAATTTTATCTCCGTTCATAAATTTTTACAACAGGGTAAAGTTGAGAATATTTGGTGGGGCAGCTTGGATTCCAACTTAGCTGTCCTACTTTAAAGTAACAAAATGCCTTTTCTCTTAGAACTTTCTATCAACTCTAATTTTAAATATTTGTTTTGAGATTCCTCTTCCCAGAAAATTTCCAAAAATCTTTGGTAGGAGAGATGTACATGTGTGTGATTGTTTTTCTTTAAACACAGTATCTAAACACCATAACAGACAGAGGCTTGTTTTGGGACCAGACATTGTTTATTAAATGTTTGTATCCTATGTAAATAACACACTAGACTATTACATAAATCATATTTGACTGATACACTAAACCAAGAGTCCAGTAATCAAGAATAATTAACAAACATGAATGAGATTAAGATACAACCAAAACTGTCAATGGTGTGGGTGGGAGGGAAACTAGAACTTTCTTAAAGCTAGAAATAAACTTGTTGCTTGCTTGCTTGCTTGCTTGCTAGATTACTAATAAGACATGCACAGATACCTAAGTGGTAAAATACTAAAGTAATTTTGCAATTAGAATGCATTAGCTTGGTGAATAGCCATTGGCTCTACCGAAGTCTTATGACTTGTTTGCCGAAAAAATTGCTCAATCTTATGGAAAGAGAAAATACTAATATGCACCCTGCCTGAACCCAGTCCAGGCCTCTCAGTTATTGATGTCCAGATTCATATTAATAGAGATCAATATTCACATTTCATAAGCAAAACTGCAATGGTCAGCAAATTCCCCTTGGTACAGTATAGCACATTCAAGCTGTTTAACACAAGAGATAAGCTATATGAAAGGCACTAACTTGTTTCCCTTAGTGTCCCATTTGGCCTTTTCTCAACAAAGCTTGCAGTGCAAGGAAATTTTAGGCATTCAACTGCTCAGTAATTCTGCATGAAATGTTTTCCTATTATCTTGGATCATTAGCGAAGGAGAACACAAGGGGAAGGAGTAAAATGTCTACTTATAAAGTAGAAAATGATCAGGGGAGTAACAGTTCATTTCCTGGCCCATCCATCTCTGTTCATTCTAACCCCAAATCAAATCAAACCAATGCAAGCACCAGCACAGCAAGCTTGTGTTTACAATAAAGAAAGACTCAATCTCACTAGAGTTTATCCATACTCCATATCTCCTTGCTTTACCAACTCCTCCCTCTCCCCTTACCCTCAGTGGGCTTATTTCTGACAGTGCTTTTTTCTATCTCCTTCAATTAGGGAACTGTTTCCAGTGACAAGAATGAGCTTCTCTTCTCTGTATTCAACATGAATTATAATAACCTTCCTCAAATATACAGAAAAGGATCAGTTCTGGTCTGGGAAAAGGCAATACTATTTTCTAAGTTTGTTTGTCAATTTTAATTTCCATTTCATGTAAACCCTTAAACCCTTCTCATGCTAACATCGGTATGCATTTTCTCCATGTCGTTCTCTATACATTACTTACGATGCTGACAAGGAGAATTTGTTTTTTAACAATCAAAAATTTGGATCAGTATCAGTATCTGGGCAATTGCCTATCTACCCCTACCCTAACCCAACAACAGTAAATTGATAACAAGTTAAGGTTAATGTCAGGTTAAGGGAGGGGTAGGTGGGCAGTTGCCCAAATACTGATATTGATCTTAAAATTTTTTAAAATGGTGATCATTTCATTTTGTGACCTTAGTGCTTGATTCAGGGTTGATAATGTGAGGAGAAATTAGAGATTGGTCACTCTTAGGGGTCAAGGGTTAAACCCTAAAAAAGACCAGCATCTAATTTCTCCTTGCAGTAACACTGCTGAGTAATTCATTGAGTTTGTGAGAATAAAGGAAATGATTGCCCACCTGAGAAGCTTTGACTGTTGAATGAATTCTCTGTTGTCAGTACCAAAGGAAATGTATAGAGAAGAGTGTGAAGAATATGGATATTGAGTCTAGGGTGTCAAGGGTTAAATTATTGTTTATATTTTTATATTGTATCCATGTTTATCTCCTACCAGGTTTGTGACATCAATGACACAGCTCAAGAAGAAAATGCTAGAAAACCAAAGAGACAGATTGTTGTCCACCATACTGACATTATTGGTGATACATTTTGGAGTGAACATCCTGAAATCCTGGACAGTTAACCACTTTGGTTTTGTGGAATATCTTGATCAAAGGACATATTTGTAATGCTGCCACAACTTCAAGCTAGATGTATTAATTCCCCCTTTTCGCTCCCAAAACAAAAATATGAAATGGTGTTTGGCCAGAAGAAGTTTTATTGAAAATAGTACAAGGATAGAAATAATAACAAGCTGAAACAAACACAATAAAACTATGAATCACACTAACTGCTGCAACTATCATAATTGCATGCGATCTAAAATGAGGGAGGGTGGGTGGGGAAAAAGGTAGACAGCAATCAACACAAACAAATCAGCATGGTACAACTATTGAATTAACACGAAGCTGATGAATGACACCCTAGAATACAATCAATTTATAGCCAAAATACTACACTGGCTGAACCTTTGACCTAAGCCAGATCAACTATCCAGGGGTAATTAACTGTTTTAAATGGAATAGAAAATACTCAGATTATCCTAACACACATGAACATTCTCATCCACTTAATGTAACAAAATTTAAGGACAGTATTGCTTAAATAAATTTTGCTAAGAAACCACAAGCAAGAAGGCATACAGTTCAGGACAAAACCCTTTACATGGCTCTGTTTCCAAGTTGTGATTGGAGCTTTTTGATTCATTTTGGTTTTTTTCTGCTATTAAATGCCTGCTAAGGCAATGACTGATAAAGGTTTTAAAATGAAACTGCAATTTTGGCTCTTAACCTCACAGTATTAAATGTTACTACTGACAGTAAACTCAGGTTAAATATCTTGTACAGATAATTAGCTGAATGGAATGTTCTGTTATTGTTCAGTTCTTTGAATGTTAATGAGTTAATACGTATCATTAGGGTTGATGGGATTAGTGTAGAGAGATCCATCATGGCCATGTGTTAATGAGGTTTCTTGTGTTTATTAAAATTTGTTAGTTTATCTTAGTAATGCTGTGCTATAACTGAGAGAGTTTTATAAAAGGCAAAAAGCACTAGCCATAAACTGAAACAACAATACAACAAAGTACTATCAATCTAATGAAATGTAGCAAAATACATCATCAAAAAT